CCACCTGTCCTGGCTATGTTGTTCTACCACCTGTCTTGGCTATGTTGTCCTACCATCTGTCCTGGCTATGTTGTCCTACCACCTGTCCTGGCTATGTTGTCCTACCACCTGTCTTGGCTATATTGTCTTACCACCTGTCCTGGCCATGTTGTCTTACCACCTGTCCTGGATATGTTGTTCTACCACCTGTCCTGGATATGTTGTTCTACCACCTGTCCTGGCTATGTTGTCTTACCACCTGTCCTGGCTATGTTGTCTTACCACTTGTCCTGGCTATGTTGTCCTACCACCTGTCCTGGCTATGTTGTCTTACCACCTGTCCTGGCTATGTTGTCTTACCAATTCCTGGCCATGTTCTTACCACCTGTCCTGGATATGTTGTTCTACCTGTCCTGGCTATGTTGTCTTACCACTTGTCCTGGCTATGTTGTCCTACCACCTGTCCTGGCTATATTGTCTGTACCACCTGTCTTGGCTATATTGTCTTACCTGTCCTGCATGTTGTCTTTACACCTCCCTGGATATTTGTTCTACCACCTATCCTGGATGCTGTTGTCTACCACCTGTCCTGGCTGTGTTGTCTTACCACCTGTCCTGGCTATGTTGTCTTCACCACTTGTCCTATGTTGTCCCTACCACCTGTCCTGGCTATGTTGTCTTACACTCACTGTGTCCCCACCACCTGTCCTGGCTATGTTGTCCCTACCACCTGTCCTGGATATGTTGTTCTACCACCTGTCCTGGCTATGTTGTCTTACCACCTGTCCTGCTGTTGTCTACCACTTGTCCTGGCTATGTTGTCCTCTCACCTGTCCTGGCTATGTTGTCCTACCACCTGTCCTGGCTATGTTGTCTTACCACCTGTCCTGGCTATGTTGTCTTACCACTTGTCCTGGCTATGTTGTCCTCTCACCTGTCCTGGCTATGTTGTCCTACCACCTTTCCAGGTGTGTATCAGGGTTTACCTGGAATAAATCACGCTGTGTATCTCGCATTGCCCATAATTCCTCGCATGGTTAAGAAAATAAAGTTATTGTATAGTTGATCCCTAACGTAACGTAACGTAACGTAACGTAACGTAACCTAACCTAACCTAATGTAATCAATGTTTATAAACTCAGTAAGGAATTATAACACAAACAAGAAGGATAAGCTAAGGCGTAACACCAGACGAGGTACAACACACGATCCTAAAATATAGAGTGAAATTGTCCGTGTAGATGTCTAGTCTTGGGCATGTGTGCACCTCAGGTCGAACAATGCTACACGTTATCGAATCAGATTTTACCAATTACAAAATTCGTTCGAGTCCTGGGTGGATTATTGTACACCTGTAAAGTCTCAAGAACATCCATCCATCCATTTGTCGCATTTGACAGTCAGTCCACAGACGCTGAGGTCATGGAGACGACGACATGGCGACTTGCACGAGTTCATTATTTCCTAAGAATTTATGTGGACATATAATGAAGAACAAAACAGGTCTTTGTGGGAAGTTTGGTGCTAATGATTGAAATAAGAAAGCCACTCGTTTCTTTAAACATAAAGAACATTTTCTTTATTATGAACTTCAACTTCAACAGGAAACTGACCTATGAAGTTCGTAATAGAATTAGTAGAGAAACTAACTCGATCTGTGTAAAAGAAATCGACATAATGGAACAGTCTTCACCCAGTTCAGAACAGATGACAAAAACCTTCACAATTCGACGGTACTATTTCACCAAAATTGGTTCTTTTATGTATTTTTCCACAAGTTGTCTCAGCGCCTGTAATCGAATGTAAATATTTGAAGGACAGATTAGAAGGAAAAACACAGAACAGGTTTATGTCTATTTGCTTCCTCAATATTCTTCAAGAGTCAGTGTGTTTTGACCGTCTTAACAGAGCCGTGTTTTATGTCGTGTTGAGAAGTTGAGGACATTTACTCTCTGCTCCTGTTCAGAGGTTGTGACCTGGTAACGTTGGCTTTGTTTTGTTTCTTTTCTGTGTAATAATAATAATAATAATAATAATAATAATAATAATAATAATAATAATAATAATCATAATCATAATCATAATAATAATAATAATAATAATAATAATAATAATAATAATAATAATAATAATAATAATAATAATAATAATAATAATAATAATAATAACACCTTGAATATGATGACGTAACCCCTTATGATGACTTAACCCCTTGAGTATGATGACTTAACAATATCAACTGATACTGGGGGTTAAGATACTATACTCAAAAGGTCAAAATATTTAACTCAATAGAGACAACTCATCATACTTCACCACTTATGTACGGGATCACCTCTGTGCTGAATAAAATGGCCTGACGTTGGCCAAATAAAACATTAAAATTGGCGTCCCCGTTGTTAAGGAGTTCACCCGGTAATTCAACACCAACTGTATCAAGTTCACCTCTACTGTACACTCAAAATCCTTTTATCTTAATATTTAGCTTTTTCAAATATTTTTATGTTAATAATTCATATTTTTTGATGGAAGATATGGTGAAAACATCTTAATAATGTTTGTTTATTTTAAACTTTATATGCTGAATATTTTACAAAATAATATAGTATGTAAAAGGACAATGAACTTTTCTTCACAAAATACAATTCAAAGAATGGATAATCATAAAAAAACCAAGATGTTTTATTTTTTTTATTTTTACATATGCATATTTTACAATAATCAGTAAGTGGGTTGGCCGATTTTGCAACTCTTCACCATACGTCTGGCACGACGAGCGGCAAAGGTGCGGGCCTCAGCCGTCATGTTCGGGGTGGGTTGGGTTAGGTTAGGTTAGGTTAGGTTAGGTTAGGTTAGGTTAGGTTAGGTTAGAACGCATATTGATTGACAATCTAAAATGACTGTTGGTGGTATGTCATTCTCCCATTGTTATATTCTCAAACTATATGCAGGCTGTCGGTTTATTGTTCACGTCTGTCAACTTCATAACTTATGTCAATCACTTCCGTTAGCATGAACGAACAGTTATTTTAGATTGTCATTCGATATGTGTTCTGTCATTCGGTTATGAAATTTGTCAAATAGTTATGTAACAATGTCTCAACGGATATGTGAAAAGGTGTATTTCTCCACTCCCGTGGCCGTCTTCAACTCTACTAGGAGAGACCAGCACACACGTCTCTTCTAGGATGTATCACATATCAATATGTCCTTCCTTCTCCTTGATGAAAGGATAATCGATCATTTTCGGTTAATAAATGAAGAAATAATACAGTGCTATTATGTGAACAGCAATCTGAACCAAGAACAAAGTTATTTGTAATTCTTACAAGCAAATGAAACCCACAGAAACATACTATACTGCGGCATATAGTGAGCCAATATTGAGGAATTAATCTTGAAAATGTTAACTATCAGAGTGAGACACAAATACTGGATTTATAGCTGGAATCACATTTAACCTTTTAGTCTCAGGGGTTCTTATATACTCAAGGACAACAGCTGGAAGATTACTGATTCCCATCCTAACAATTGTGAGGCAAGACAGACACATGGGGAGGTAAGACATACACGTGGGGAGGTAAGACAGACACATGGGGAGGTAAGACAGACACATGGGGAGGTAAGACATACACATGGGGAGGTAAGACAGACACATGGGGAGTAAGACATACACGTGGGGAGGGTAAAAGGAACAGACACATGGGGGGCAGGCAGACACGTGGGGAGGTAAGACAGACACACGTGGGAGGTAAGACAGCACATGGGGAGTAACACAGCCATACACACACGTGGGAGTGAAGACAGACACGTGGGAGGTAAGACAGACACATGGGAGGTAAGACAGACACATGAGGGGGAGTAACACATACACGTGGGGGAGGTAAAGACAGACACATGGGGGCGCATACACGTGGGGAGGTAAGACAGACACATGGGGAGTCAAGACAGACACACGTGGGGAGGTAAGACAGACACATGAGGAGTAACACATACACGTGGGAGGTAAGACAGACACATGGGGATGTAAGACACATACATGGGGAGTAACACATACACGTGGGGAAGTAAGACAGACACATGGGGAGGGAAGACAGACACATGGGGAGTAACACATACACGTAGAGAGGTAAGACAGACACATGGGGAGGTAAACCAGAAACATGGGGAGGTAAGACAGACACATGGGGAGTAACACGTACACGTGGGGAGGTAAGACATACACGTGGGGAGGAAAGACAGACACGTGGGGAGGTAAGACAACACATGGGGAGTAACACATACACGTGGAGAGGTAAGACACACACGTGGAGAGGTAAGACATACACGTGGGGAGGTACACCAGACACATAGGGAGTAACACATACACGTGGGGAGGTAAGACAGACACATGAGGAGTAACACATACACGTGGGGAGGTAAGACAGACACATGGGGAGGTAAGACAGACACATGGGGAGGTAAGACGAACACATGGGGAGTAAGACAGACACATGAGGGGAGTAACACATATACACGTGGGAGGTAAGACAGACACATGGGGAGTAACACATACACGTGGGGAGGTAAGACAGACACATGGGGAGGTAAGACAGACACATGGGGAGGTAAGACAGACACATGGGGAAGTAAGACAGACACATGGGGAGTAACACATACACGTGGGGAGGTAAGACAGACACATGGGGAGGTAAGACAGACACATGGGGAGGTAAGACAGACACATGGGGAAGTAAGACAGACACATGGGGAGTAACACATACACGTGGGAAGGTAAGACAGACACATGGGGAGGTAAGACATACAC